AGAAAGAGTCCTCCAGAAGGCAGCCACCTTTCCCCCGAGTGTGCCTTTTTCACCTCCAGTCTGCATCACCACTGATCTTGACCCCCACCCCGCCACACCTTGGCGGCTGCCTCTAACCCTGCTTAGCAAAAGCCTTGGGGGCCTTGGTTTGTCCTGAAACACTGGGGAGCCTCTGACTTCTACAAGAAGAGTCACTGAAAACTGGAGGCGATGCAGGAGAAGAAATCAGGCAGTCTCCTACCTTGTTTTCTCAGATCCTGTTCTTTTGGTGTGTCTCTCCAAGGTGCCAATTTCTTGTTTTTTGGAAATTCGCATCCCTCCAGCTTTTACTATAAACAAATAAACATTGACATGGGAGTCATGGTCAGAACAGCAAGAGAGGGCGTGCTTTGTTATTCCAGGTATAAATTTAGATATGAAAAAAATTTAGAACCTATTTTTTTAAAGATTCAAACTTTTATCTAAAACAATGCAATAAAAGAAGTTACTTTGAAACCACATAAGCTAAGAAAAAATATATTCTGTGCAAACAAGGTGGGGAGGGGAAGAAGCGCTGAGGTCTGCTTGTTTATGTTCAGGGAGGGGAACCGAGCTTTAAAAGGCAGCAGGTCACAGCTTCCATTTGGGGAGATGAGTAACAACGTACTCCCTTAGGCATTTCACTGCAAAACATTTTTTCTTGTTATCAAACCAATTACACTCTTCATGATAGCAACTGACAATTACAGTGTGATCCTCCTATTTTCCCACAAGATTAAAGTTTGTGCACCGCTTGCATTTTTTTTGCAGCCAAAGCTTTCAAAAGCCAGATTCTGAGAATGAGCCAAAAGTCAGGGCAATAGTGATAACAGGCATTTAATTCAACAGAGATGCTTCTGATCCCACCGGATACCCACTTTTCATCTCAGACCTCGAACCTCTCTCGGATGTTGGCCAAGCTCAGATATTGTAATGAGTAATTAAAATACATTAATAATCATGCCATTCAATAGATCAATTAGTGTTAATTAGGCTACAGATGACCTAACAGCAATTCAAGTGTTTAACAATGTCAGATGAAACCAACTTTTGTAAAGGAACAACCCATTTCAGATTGCAAGTCAAAGTAAATACTATTTTCTGTTCCCAGGAAATTTGCACATCTAAAATCTGACAAGCTCAAATGAGAAAAAGCTAAATGGACACTGATTTCTTTGAACCTGTTCATTCTTTTTTATGGGAATGTCAAATGGACAGTTTTCTAAAATTAGCTCCAATAAAGTGAAAAATAAGGAAAACTGATTGTTTCTCCATGCCTTTGTGAGTTGACTTAGTCATTACTCTTTTAAAATTATTATTTAATTTATTGCTTTGATTATAATACATGCATAAAGCACAAAATTCAAAAAGCATGAAAAGGTCTGCAGTCTGTTTCCTACCATTAATTCCCAGCCCCCTGGTTCATCTCCCTAGATGTCATAAGTACCTCATGTATTCATCCACAGATATTCTATATGTCTACCTACATGTTATTATTTTTTAAATAGTAGCATAAGATATACAGTGTTCTGCATCTTGTCTGTTTATATTTTTCATTCAATCATATGTTTTGGAATAAATTCTCTTTCAATACACATATAAGAATGTGCTTTTCTTTTTAACATCTTTAAAATGTCATTATATAAACATTCTGTGTTTACTTAACCAATTCCCAAATATTAAGACATTTCAGATATTTCTAACCCATTGCTATTATAAACCATACTGCAATGAATATCCTTTCATATATATATAATTTTGCACAAGTGCAAATAAATCCATGGGCTAAATTTCTACAAGTGATCTTGTTAGTTCTCAAGAGTATACATTTGGAATTTTGTTAAATCTTGCAAAATTGCCCTTCACAGAGTTTGCGCCAGTTTTTCAATCTCACCAGCAATGACGACAGTTGTCTCCCCATGTCCCTTGCAGCCATGTAAGCTAGAAAACATTTGGTTTTGTCAATCAATAAATCTTTAAAAAAATGGTAGCCCACTGTTTTATTTGCATTTCTTATATTTTATTAAAGGTTGAACTTGTTTCTGTGTTTTAGGAGCCATTTATATATTTTTTATGAACTATTCAAATTTTTTCCTATTTTTTTATTGATTCATAGGAGCTGTTTATCTCTGAGATGTATCACAAATATAAAATATTTTACCAGTTACTGCCTTTTTTGTTAATGATGTTTTTGCCAATGAGACATTTCCTTTTTTTGTTAGCCTTTTGTGGGTTTTGTATTACTAAGGAATTCCCCATTAGGATATTTTATAAATATTATTCCATATTTTCTTCTAGAACTTTTATGGTTTCATTTTGCATAATCAATCTTTGATTGTATGTTTAAATCCTTGACTTTCTAGAATGTATTTTATGTAATTCATGTGGCAGCATAATAGATTTTTAAAATTAGATTATCCCAATAATATTTTAAAAATCCATCTTTTATCTATTAATTTGAAATGCCATCTTTATCATATACTAAGTTCTCATATATGTATATGTGTACTACATGTGTGTATACATGTGCATATATATTTCTTCCATTCTGTTCCATTAACCTCTCTGTCTATTTATATGCCATTACAACTCTATTTAAATTATTGCAGTATTATATTTTACTATCTGACAGAGTTAGTCCTTCTTTGTTAAATTTTCTTTGCAGAATTTTACTAGCTATTCTTATTTATTTTTCCATATAGACTTTAGAATCAGTATGTTAATTTCCTATACAAAATCCTGTTGGTATTAAAGATCTTGCTTTAAATTTATAGATATTTTTAAAAGAAAAACTTTGTATCTTTATATTCCTGGTAGCTCTCTGTTCAAGAACAGGATATGCTTTCCCATTATTTATGTCTTCTTTTGAGTCCCTCAGTAACTTGTTCACATAATCTCACACATTTATTATTAGATTTTATCCCTAAGCATTTTATCTTTGTTGTTGCTGTTGCTATTGTAAATGAGGTCTAGACTTCCATTATAACTCTAACAGATTGTCCTTATATCACTATTATTGATTTTATATCCCAATCTCATTAAATTTTCTCATTGTTTATAATAGTTTTAAATTGATTCTTAGGTTTTCCAGGTTTAAAAACTGATTATTGGTGATGGACATTTTTGTCATCCTAATTTTTAAAGATTGCTTTTAGTGTTTTCCTATTAAGCATAATGTATACTTAGGAGAAGTGTATTTTCATAAATATACTGTTTCATCATGTTAAGGAAGTATCCTTCTAGTACTGTTTCATTGCACTTAAAATTACAAACACATATTTAATTTTATCAAATGCCTTTTTAGCATAAACAGACATAAGATTTTTCTGCTTATTATGGTTAATTATATTAATAAATGTCTTATATGAAACCATCCTTGTATTCATGGAATAAACTCTACTCGGTCATTTTGAATCACCAACCTGTTTCTTTTATTGATCATAAAAGCCGCTCACTAGAATTTTGTAATATTAGATGCAGTCTAGGGGGAAAAATGCTATTCTCATATTTGGTTTCCTTTAAATTCATATGTATATATACACAGATATATACATATACACACACACACACACGCACGCACATATGAAAAACGGCATATGAAGTACTCAGCAGCAGAAACGAAATTATGTGGAAACACCTGCACAGCCACGGGGTACAGAGGTGAAATAAGCCAATGCCTGGCTGTTGCAGGAAGACGGAGGAGTGCGTGCCCCTGTTTGAGGGGTGGCGCTGTTCACACAACCATTGTCTCCTCTATCAGGAGGAATCAAGTAGCTCTGGAGCCGTGCCTTCAATATCCCTCCCACAGCATTTTTCATTCTTATGACAGGGGCTTTTAAAATAGTTTATGGTAATTATTTTCTTTTTACTGCTCCTTTTGTCTTCCCTGTTGCTATTGTTTCTATACATTTTCTTCCATCTGGGCTGATTTTATTCCCAACAATAGAAGCAAGTTGTTATCGTTAAATAAACAACAGTTAAAAATGAGAAGACCTTTGGAATACTGAGCTTTGTGGCACTCATTTGAAAGCACATTGGCAAACCAGAGGCTGACCAGAGAAGAGCAGAGTGGAGGAGGGAGCACACTACCTGAGGATTAGGGAATCAGGGAAGATCACGTCTGAAGAAGCCAAGGCTGGGGAGCTCAGGGGGCCGTCTTCAGAGATCTGGGGGGCTATCATGTGGGAGGAGGAAAGGTTTGTTGGTGAGGAAATGTTATATAGGGGCTGAAGAATTTGTAGTTATTATTATTTCTATTTATTTTATTTTTCCAGAGAAGAGATTGAAGACCAAAGAATGGAAATTCCAGAAAGGCAGGGTCTGGCTACACTTAATAGGGTGCTATTGGAAATGAGGTAGGCTGCCCAGGACATTCGCATGTCCTTTGCCCCTCAGCGTGCCAAAGGGAAGAAGTCTACCTGCTGTGAATATCTTAGGAGGATTTTGGCGAATTTGGTAGCAGTTTAACTAGATGATCTTTATTATGAAGTCCTTACTATGATTCTAACTCTCCCATCTACTTACAAAAGAAAAACCATCACTTCCCTCCCTTCCGGAAGAATATAAGGCACTTAACTGAGAAACAGATACCAACAGGAAATTTTTAAAATGCAAACATGGGAATGAGTCCTTCATTCTTAAGAACAATAAAATAGTGACATTTGAGGGGAAATTAAAAATCCTCCCAGAGGATTCCTATTTCTATGCAGGAGTCTTTGAATCCTCTTTGGTGTAGGGCCGTGGGCTTTAAATGAGTGATTCAGGGAGCGTAGTGAACCACAGCTTGGATCTCCAGAGCACAGTTCTTGTACCAAACGTGTTCGGGTAGGTACTCTCACTTGGTCAGCCGTGAAGCAGCAGATAATATTCCCCTACTATAATGGATACACTGAGGTATGTGCAGGTGAAGGCTCTCACGACACTGAGGTGACCCAACCAGATGGAACCAGTTTGTGAGAGGGTCATCTTCAAAGCTCTGCCGGGAGCACTGCTGACGCTGGTCTCCTGGGATCTAGAAAAACCACTGTAAATCAACATTTACAGCCCAACACCACTGGGTTCTTGCCCATTTTGCTTATACCAGACAGGTCTGACTCATGGGACCTCTTCAAAGTCTCACTGTAACTAAATTAGTTCATTTACATTTGCAACATTTACATAATTCTGTTTGGGAATATACTGCCTTTTCAACCTTTGTAGAAGAACAAACTGGAATTGGGTGAAGTGAAATATGAACTGATTTAAGATTTTAAAGGGCCTCTGAATACAAATACATAAGGTAAAACTTTAGGTCCTTTCAATGAGCAAAATGAACTAGAGATAGAACATGGAAAAGAGAGACAGACTCTTGAATACTTTCATTAGAAAATCAAAATTTATGTGGGGAAAATGAAACTTTGTTTTCCTATCTCTGAGTAAAAGTTATCCTCCTGTGGCTTCTTTTACAGTTTATACCTTCAAAAATAGACCCTTGAGTTTAAAATGCTAAATAATAATTTTCCAGTTAAGATTTCCCAGACATTTTGCACAGTTTTTCATGGAGGGTAGTCAAGATAAAGAAAGAAAAGCCTGCCAGAAAAATTAAGTTTTTTCTTCACTAATCGGTGGAGAATGTATGTGAAAAAGCTGAACAACACACAGCTTTGTGCAAGCTCTGCCTCGTGACTTAGGACTTTTATGTGAAGATTTTAATTCAGAGATTAGATATTTGCAAAATGCTTCCTTTGAGCTTACATTTGATTTTTCAGCAAATTATAAGCTGCCAATTGGGACCTAAAAGACCCTCATTGGAAGAAGGATGGGAGCAAGGAGAGAGGGTGTTAGAGCGGAGCACTTCGGCAAGGAGTCCACTTCATTTCAAGTCTGATCCCCACTGCCCTCCAGGTGTGTAGCTTTGGACACGTCCCCAACCTTGCTGACTTTCGGTGTGCTCCGCTGTGGAACAGGATGATGCTATGTCCTCAGCCTGCAGGGGTGTTGCCGTGTCTAGAGGGTTCCGTGCAGTGCCGCGAGCACAGGCAGTGTTGAGCGAATTCGGTTGTTCTTGCAGTCATCAAACGCCGTCCCAGCGACGCTCGGGGTAGTGGGTCTCCCAACCTCTCTCTCAAACACACAGATCAAACCTCCTAAGTTGACTCGAGCAGATTGAAGTTAAGAGAGTTAAGCCTTTGTGTTTTTTTTGTGTTTTTTTAAATAATGCTGGCCCTTATGCAGCTATAGTCTACCTCCATTACCTGCATTAGTTTCACACTTGGGGATCTACTCCCCAAACCTGGTTCTCTCTTTCATGGGCCAGAAAACGGATTCTCTCTGGGGGTTCAGTGGTGGTCCCTCTGATGGCTCTGATTCATTTGACTTAAACCACATTAAAAAGTGCAGGGAGTATATAGAAAAACTCATGAACTCCTGCTCTTTCTAGTTCCTTACGTATGTACTTGGCTTCCTTGATCACCTACGCACACAGTTTTGGCTGTGATGAGGCTCTTACAAAACTGAGGGTGAGGCAAATTTAAAAGCAGAAAATGCAAAGCTAAGCATATTAGAGCCCCGGCCAGCTCATGTTTAATGTAGTCTTGTGTCACAGCGTAAATTTATAACCATGGCTAACAGAGGTGCAATATATTATATTAATATACATGGAAGAAAAACTGCAAAGCACTATATTAATATACATGGAAGAAAAACTGCAAAGCACTCGATGTGTAGGTGGGAAAGTTACACTGGCTGACTTTAGAGTGGTTTCATTTTTAACTGTGATGGGGCAGGCACATGTATATTTTCCATACAGGGTCCTTCTCTTCTGCCTATTGCAATAGTGCCTCATGCAGAAACCCTCAGACATCTAAGGCCTTGCTATTGGGGAGGGTAATTTCTTCTGACAGCTTATGTGTTTTATGAGGCCTGCATTTTATGGGGATTAACATTCATGTTCTGGGTACCCCACATAGGTTATTGCCTTTCATCATCATAACAACCTTACAATATACATGTTAGTTATTACCCCCCATTTTAGAGATGAGAAAACTGATGCTCAGAGATGTGGGTTTAAACCCACGTCTGTCTGATTCCAAAGGCCATGTCAAATCTATCCCATCATACCATGTCTGTTTCCCACTTTCAGGGATCTGTACATTGCTTATAAAAATCTCAGGTGAAGATTTAATGGAATTCTGGTGATGAGTTATTATTGTTCCATAAATAAAAACTTTGCACCATAGCAAACTGGTTCAGACTTAAAATAGGTAGCGAGGCAAGATGAAGGATGAGGCTTCTTTGTTTCCTTGATCTCAGTGGGGAGGCAAAAGTCTGCCTTCATCTCCATTCTAATTACCCCAAACCTCTTATCTGTAGTGTCACAGTTCATAATAATTAATTGTCATGCCAGAGGCATTGTGACATGCTTGATGGATTCATGGTGTGCTATGTACACAGAGTAATTAGCAATCATTAGTGGTGGGGACAGAAAGTTCTTGGTGGTTTCATTTGAACGTTCATTTGGTTAAGTTTATCTTCGTGTTCTTTGTGCGTAAATGTAATTTAGTAAATCAGGTTTTAGCTTAACTGTTTTATGAAAGATTGAAGTGGAGTGGTGAGAAGAGAATGGTGTTCTTTTTGTGTGTGTCATTTTCTGTGTAATGACTTCTCTTCTAATAATTTGCATATATAGTTCCTGACCATTAGGTAGCATCATTAACTTTAAATATAGATAATGTTAAATACTGCTAAATCCAATTATAAATATAAAGTGCCAGGAGTCTGCCACAGGAGAACAGGGCATGGAGCCCAGAACTGGAAACTCAAAATCAGTAGTGAAAATTCTGACTCTTTTCAGCTAGGCTGCCCAACAGAAAACCACAGAACCTCCGTGTCAGTTTTTCATGCTTGGCAAAGGTTATATCTGCCAGCATCCTCTGCAGTGAAGATGACTGAAATAACCTTGGTGTAGAGGTGCCCAATTACACCAATAAATACATTTTGTAAATGGAGAAAGGCAGGAACAAAGTGGTCAAGCTTTTAAGCTCTTTCTTAAAGGGAAAAAAGAAGGCAGGCAGTTGAAAGAACATAAAACTGGCTAAACATAGGCCTACACACCTCAGTCAGTCTAGATGAACATATGGTTAAGTACAATAAAACTAATTTCTATATTCCAGAGAGTTGATATAAATAGCATGCATTTAAAGTGTGTGTGTGTGTGTGTGTGTGTGAGAGAGAGAGAGAGAGAGAGAGAGAGAGAGAGAGAGAGAGAGACCTTAGAAAAACAACTTGATAGCTGCGGTTTCCAGTCTGCCAGCCCCAGTGCTTGGGTCCTCACTGGAAAGTGCTCCTCAGCCTGTTGGTAGGCAAACTACATCACTGATACCACTGCCCAACCCAACAGCCTGAGGAGGAAGAGAGAATGGTGGTTGCTCTTGGTGTGGAAGCTGGTTTGCCTGGCTATGAAATCAGAAGATGTACAGGTGTCTTGGGGAAACTGACTCTTAGAGCTGGAACCTCGAGAGAGGAGGTTTCCATGGCAGTAAACCATCTTCCCAGGTGTGGATGTGTCACTCCTGACCCACAGCCAGGGAGGAAAGGACCAACCTCCCTACCTATCTCTTTCCACAGCACCCAAACCCTTGCCCTCCCTTATATAATCAGGTTTTAATTCAGCTAGGGCTTGACAAATCCCCAGGCAGCTTTATGCACAAGCCTAGAAAGATCAAAGACATAGGAGGAAATCAGGCCGTATGAAGTTAAAGTAGCAATGGGAGGTTGAGGACCTCTGCTCTGTGGGGCGCCTCTGTCGAAGGCACAGATGGCAGGAGGAGCAGCAGCAGTGAGGCCCTCGCTCCCTACCGGACAGAGGGCAGGTGGGCCGCCTACCTGCAGGAGGATGCCCCCTTTCCAGAGGGGAGGGCAGGACTTGCACTTCATTTGCCATCGCGAGTGCCAGTGCTGGTGCTCTGGAGGCCGTGCCAGCTGTGGCTGTCCCACTGCACCCTGGCTTTATACAGGCTGGGGGCGGGGCCCCTTAAGGGCATTGCTGAGCAGCAACAGGGCTTGTCACCGAGCTGTCTGGTAACCTGCATCTCCTTGGCAAGTTTTCTCTTGGAAGAAAACTTTCTTCCTATTCCCGTCATCTGAGAAGGTGGAATAGGTGGCTGAGGGAGCTCTTATCTTCTTTCACAAAAGGAAGAAGAGGGGATGAAGCTCAGTGGAAAACTTTTTCTCTCCAACGGTTCACCCACCAAGGATATAATGGAGAATCTGCAATGTGACAGGCTGTTTGTCATATGCTGGCATGGCGAGGAGGGAAGGACGCGATCTCTGCATCAAGACATCCGTAGTCTTTTTAAAGACACAATTATAAAACAAAGTGCTATGCTTTTGTCCCAGTCTTTGCAATTATAAGCATCGATACTAAGAAAATAATTGGAGATGTAAACAAAGATTTCTGCACAGGGATGGTAATCATATATTTCTTATTTTAGTATTCATTGGAATCAACATAAACATCCCCAAATAGAGATATTTAAATAAAATATAGCCATGAGAGTACTATGTACACATTTACAAATCGTGCTTTAAAATAATATGTAATGATGTGAAAAATATTCATAATGAGATAGTGAAAAAGCAGGCTACAGAACAATAGGTGGCAATTTTGTTAAAAAGAAAAAGTACAAATTTAAGCTTAAGCATTGTTGTATCTCCTGTGCTGATAAAAATGTGGCATATGGCAGGTACTTAGAAATATCTCTTTGTTCTTCAATACAATTAAAAACTTCTGCGCTGAAAAAAACATTGGCCCAAAAATGAAGACCAGCTGCAAACTGGGAGAAAATATTTATAGAACACACTTCTGATAAATACTAGCATCAAGACTGTATAAAGAATTCTTACAACTCAATAACAACCCAACTTAAAAATAAGCAAAGTATTTTTTAAAACTCCACAAAGTAGAGATATTGGCAACAAATAAGCACATAAAAAGATGCTCTGGCCCAACCAGTGTGGCTCAGTGGTTGAGCATCAACCTATGAACCAGGAGGTCATGGTTTGATTCCCGGTCAGGGTACATGCCAGAGTTTCGGGCTCAGTCCCCAGTAAGAGGTGTGCAGAAGGCAGCCGACCAATGACTCTCATCACTGATGTTTCTATCTCTGTCTCCCTCTCCCTGAAATCAATAAAAACATAAAAAAAAAAAAAAAAGATGTGGAGAAACAAGATGGCGGCGTAGGTAACAGCTGTACCCGCCGCCTCCCACCACCACATCAAAATTACAACTAAAACACAGAACCACCAGCACTCAGAGCCTCCTGAGATCTGGCTGCACAGAAGCCCCAGAACCAGGGAGGTGAAGGAGCATCGAGAGCGGGAGGAGGGGCGGAGACGCGGGCGGGTCGGGGCTGAATCGAAGATGTGGCCACGGGCCCACACCCGGTGCTGCGGTTGAAACCCGGGAGGGAATCTCGGTGGTGGAGGTTTCCCGGAGGAGGGAGGGGTCCCAGCCCCACAGCAGGCCCCCAGCCCAGGGCTCCAGGGCCGGGAAGAGACGTCCCCACAACTCCGGGCTGTGAAACCAGAGGGGACTGTCGCTGAGGGTCCCTGAGGCTGCGGGAGCCCCAGGCTTTCCTCCTAAAGGGCCC